CTATACTTAAATAACACATAGAAGACAACTAGTTTATTACCTTCTATATATATATATATATATATATATACATATATACATATATATACATATATATATATATATATCCAAATTCTCGTACCTGAGCCTGATATCCGATTCGAATCCAACACGCACTGTACCCTGGCTACCTCTCTAGGCTCCACAAAGTACGAGAGGTCAATTAACTGCTCGTCGTCACTCAACCCTTTGAGCACACCGTGGCCACTACGTATGCGTTCACTTGGCGTTACAGCTGAGCGAGATACATGGGGTTTGTGGTGATGGGGATCGAGAGTTTTAATTGGAAGATTGATTGAACAGCGGATAAACCTATCTTACTACGTGCTGACTACACCTATGACTACGCCAACGATGATATAGCAGGCAAGTATCTGATGCACCACGACGCTGCGAATGGGTATAGTCGACAGCCGCAGCTGAGCCAGGGCCATTACAGTGAAATCACGAATAGCAGATTGTCAAATAGCTGTGTGTCTACTATCCTACCATTGCCAAGCGATGGCAATACATGAAGTAGGTAGGTGTTGTGTAGGTAGGTGTTGTGTAGGTAGTGTAGATATATAGCGTTCGCGTGGCGACACGACTGAGGGATTACCCATACAATACGCCTATTCCAACACTGCACGGAAGACCTTATACGTTTTTGGGTCGCTTTTCTGTAGCAAGACAGGGTTAGATGACGCTGTATGTAGGTAGGTGTAGCGAAAAGCGTGTGACTGTACCAATCGATGCAATATTGAACAGTTGCCTCTGCTTGGGTGCGAAGTATTCTTGCGTATTAAGTAGGGTTTCAGGGGGGGTTTCTTTTAGGGTTTTAGGGTTGGAAAGGCCAGCAGCTACGTATGTGCGCACTCAAATCCCCAGCTGAGCGAGATTTAATACACGCCTGCACAGATTAACGTGCACAAGCAACAGCTCTAAATACCATACCCACCTGTTCTATTCCTTTTTTTAACACTTCAGCGGAAATATCGTACTTTGGCCAGGCAGCTGACCTGAACGCTTCCCAAACGCTTCTGACAGCGATACACACGCACTGTACACGCCGATACCATACAAAACACCTCAAACTACCAACGAGATACTACGGAAGCTACTGACACGCCCATACCATACAAAACACCGCAAACTACCAACGAGATACTATACAAAACACCTCAAACTACCAACGAGATACTACGGGAGCTACCGACACGCCCATACCATACAAAACACCTCAAACTACCAACGAGATACTATACAAAACACCTCAAACTATCAACGAGATACTACACAAACACCTTAAACTACCAACGAGATACCATACAAAACACCTCAAACTACCAACGAGATACTACACAAAACACCTCAAAATACCAACGAGATACTACGGCAGCTACTGCGTGCGTGTAATGGGTTGAGTATATTTTGTGCATAGATACGTATGCCCTACCACTCTTGTTTTTGGTGTAAGCTGCCTGTTCTGTATCGCATATCAGCTTGATGTCGGTTCGGAAAGCCCTCCAAACGCCTAGCAGCGATTGCTTGGAGTCATCTTCATCACACACATCATAGAACGCCGCCAGCTCACCTAGACGCTTCGATAGGGCCGTGAAGTCGCCTCTCCTATAGATACATGTAGACGTCTATATATTTAGGTGCTTATAAATACATGTAGACGACTATATGGTTAGGTGCTTATAAATAACATGTAGACGACTATGGTTAGGTGCTTATAAATACATGTAGACGACTATGGTTAGGTGCCTATAAATACATGTAGACGACTATATAGTTAGGTGCTATAACCGTGGGGGTCGGAATAGTAGCCTCAACCCTAGCGATACAGCCAGTGTGGGCAAGTGTAGAGTCTGGTATTACACTTAGAAGGAGCGTTTAGACACTTGTTTTATAGGTATGACGAAGGTGTAGCTAGAACCACTAGATGGCTCGGTATGTAGTTGTAGTATTGATGTCAAACACCTCGTCTGAATACGCAAGAGCCTTCCCTATGATATGATACAAGCTCACTATGGCACTATATAATAAAGAGAAATATAGACCATATGCGTAAGGGTGATATGCTACAATCTCACTATGGCACTATATAATAAAGAGAAACATAGACCATATGCGTAAGGTTGATATGCTACAAGCTCACTATGGCACTATATAATAAAGAGAAACATAGACCATACGCGTATGGTGGATATGGTACAATCTCACTATGGCACTATATAATAAAGAGAAACATAGACCATATGCGTAAGGTTTCTTCTACCTACAGAGCGAGCGCAGGAATCCATGTAGTATAGGGAGCCACAAGGATTGGGTACCCTCCTGGGCAGGACATAAATAGAAAAACTACCTGCAGACCAAACACACATATACAGTCTACTCTACCCAAAGTGCATATCATTCAGCTATTTATAGGGAGAGGCACTCTATACAGTTAATGTAGTCAGACACCACCCGATAAGCTATATCCATATGCAAAACAGAGCCCTACCTCAAGGCGCTAGTCAAGGTCTGGTTGACTTGTGGCGTCTCTATTTCCTCCGCAGTATGAGCGATGGTAACCTTGGTAACGGTGGCTATGTCAGCCCCTGTGCTCTCGATCTCGATTTCCACGTAGAACATGTCCGTGTTTATAAACACAGTGGTGATGGGTGGGGCGGAGTCATCCTCGTGGTATTGTAGTCTGTAGGTACAATATATGATTATATGACTATATATATAAACATAAACACACATATATATATACATACATAAATACATACATATATATATATATACATATATATATATATATATATTCTATTTATGTATATCTGTAAGACA